TTTCTATCTGATCACTGATATCAGATTGATATTTGATCACTGATATCGGATTTCTATCTGATCATTGATATCAGATTAATATTTGATTATTGATATCAGATTAATATTTGATTATTGATATCAAATTTCTGATCACTGATATCAGATTTCTGTCTGATCACTGATATCGGATTTATATCTGATCACTGATACCAGATTTCTGTCTGATCATTGATATCAGATTAATATTTGATTATTGATATCAGATTAATATTTGATTACTGATATCAGATTTCTATCTGATCATTGATATCAGATTTCTATCTGATTACTGATATCAGATTAATATTTGATTACTGATATCGGATTTCTATCTGATCACTGATATCAGATTTCTGTCTGATCATTGATATCAGATTTATATCTGATCACTGATATCAGATTTCTATCTGATCATTGATATCAGATTAATATTTGATTATTGATATCAGATTAATATTTGATTACTGATATCAGATTTATATCTGATTACTGATATCAGATTTCTATCTGATCACTGATATCAGATTTATATCTGATTACTGATATCAAATTTCTATCTGATCACTGATATCAGATTTCTGTCTGATCACTGATATCAGATTTATATCTGATCACTGATATCAGATTTATATCTGATTACTGATATCAGATTTCTATCTGATCACTGATATCAAATTTATATCTGATCACTGATATCAGATTTATATCTCATTACTGATATCAGATTTATATCTGATCACTGATATCAAATTTCTGATTACTGATTAAATTTCTGATCACTAATATCAGATTTATATCTGATCACTGATATCAGATTTCTGTCTGATCACTTAACAGCACCCTGATCCAAAATGCTCCAAGGAAAGGGATTTTTGTGACATGCTCCTAAAGATCAGCTGGATTCCATGCAGATAAATCAGATTTTCTCCATGAAAATAATTTTCTTCTTGTTTTATTGTGCAATACAGTGTTCATAGTGAAGTGACTCCTTTGTAGGCCTGGGAAAATGAATTTCCCATCCGTGGGGAACATCCAGGGGTCCCCTGGTTCTGGAGAGCAGGGCCAGCAATTCCACAGGCCTGGAATCCTCGTGGATTTTTTGTTCTTTATGGATATTTATGGAGTTTGTTGTTTATGAATTCACCCAGGGAATCATCCAGGTTGGAAAAGGCTCCAGAGCTGGGTCCAACTCTGTATTTACAAGTGAGATGTGTTTTCAAGATACATCACAACTATATCATGTTTATCATGAGTAAACCATGAGTAAATCCTGTGTAGAGCTGTGCCATGGCCCTGGACACCACCCCAAGGAAAGGAATCCTGATGGATTCAAGGTTTCCTTCCCACTTCAGGCACTTTTGTTTGTTGACTCACTGGCCTAAAAATAGGCCCTCATGAAGTATTCACCACTGATCTAATTAGGCAGGAGAATGCTGCTTTTCAGACTGGGGAAGCATTCCCAAAAATGATGCAACATTTGTGTCTAATTAGATGATACAGGAAAATCCTGGCTAATTGCTTTGATAGACTTAAACAGATTAATAATGTGCAAGTGGTAACTAAATAAAAACTCCTTTTCACTGAGTGCTTTGAAAGTGATGCTTCTTAAGAAGCTAAAATTCCTTATTAGTTCTGAAAGCCCAGGATTGTGATTTGAGAGCATTTCTCATTTTGGAGTTTTTTTTTTCAGTGCTAGAAAAGAAAATCTTAAAAATGAGATTGTAATTTGTGTCTCTGAGCAGTGTTTGGTGTTTTTTTCTAAATGCCTGCAAAGGTTTCTACCCAAAATGTGGCCATTCCATAGGTGGGGACTGGGATTTGTGCCTCAGAGAGCCAGGCTGGGATTGTGGAGCCCCAAATTGATCCTTGCAATTGTTTGGCACTTCAAATTCATGTAGGAAAAAAGTAATTGAGCACCAAAAGTATTTGGAGGACAAGGGAGAGATTTAGATTATATTTGAATATTAAAAAATATTATTGCTAAGAGGGTTGGAGCAACCTGGGATAGCTGAAGGTGTCGCTGAGGGTGGCACAAAATGGGCTTTAAGGTCTTTCCAACCCAAACCATTCCATGATTTGCAATACCAACCTGTCAAAATTTGTCTTAATTGGCTCAACATCCACTTATTAATAAAATAAGTATTATTAATATCATATGTAACAGATTGGAATCCAGACAATTAATATCTAATTTAAATTTCTTTTTACATCCTATGGAGTTTTTTCTGGTTTTCCCACTTGACTCAAAAATTGTTAAAGTAAATATTAGCAGCTGAGTGTGCAAAGAGGCTGCCTGAAATCCAACATTGCAAAAAAAGGGAGAGAGTCCCTTGAAAAATTGAAACCACACTTGCAGCAGATGAAAATGAAGGAGAAGTTTTCCATGTGGGGAAGGGGATGAGGGGGCTAAGGGGGGAAGGAATTCTGTGCAGTTTTGCATAGTTGTGCAGTGAAATCTTTTGAAGGATATCCTAATGGAACTGGACTGCAAAACAAATCTAAACACGATGTGCTGGCACGGGGCAGACAGCAGGGACTGCCTTGGATGTGGGAAGCTGTGCGGAGATAACAGGGCCTGTCTGGAGCTGCCAGGAGATCTCTGAGGAGAGGGATTTGTTCCATGGCTGATGGAAATCAGCCCTTTGGATTCCTTCCAGTGTCCAGCATCCTCTGGGCTTGGTCCAAAACCCAACTCCTTTGCATCCCAGTCCAAAACACTTCAGAGAGTGCTGGGGAGGGGGCAGGTGGTGCATCACGGGGTGGGGAGGCTCTGCAGTCACAGAATCCCAAATCCCTGAGGCTGGAAAATCCCTCCAGGACCATGGAAACCCAGCTGTGCCCATCCCACCCTGTGCCCAGCCCAGAGCNTGTTTTGCACTCCTGTGTGTGCAAGGCCCGAGCAGGAGGTGTTATTTGGGAAGGTGGGAGTGCAATAATCCAATTTTTGCCTGCCTTGGAGCATCCCCAGGCTCTGAGGGCAGCGGAATCCCCCAGGATTGCGTTTCCACAAGCTCCTCTGTGCCCTGCCAGCGTGCACAGGCAAGGAAAGGTCAAACAATATTGACTCCACAGCTATCCCAGGGAAAAATTAGTGGATATATTCAGATCTGACACGATTCAAGCGGAATAGATGATCCCAGCTGAATAAAGACTCCGTGTTTGTGCCTCCTTGGAAAGCACAGATGCTTTCCTGTCAGCTGTCAGCAGTTGCTTTGGATTAAATCAAGATGAAATCCGTTCATTAACTGGTTTTCGTTACCTGCTGGAAGCACTGAGTTGGCTCTGAGGGTTTTTCTTAGCAAAACAGAGCTGCTGAGTGGGGCCTAAATCATCCCTGCGAGTGTGCAGGGCCAGGCTGGAGGGGCTGGGAGGTGATTCCAGGGCTGGAATCAGCCGAGCTTCAGCTCCTTCCCAAGCCAGAGAGTCTGCAATTCCATGATTTTGTGGCACTTTCCTACAAAAGAAGCTTTGGGTTATCCTTTGTGTTACAGAAGTGTCAATAACTGTGCAAACACAAGAGACTTTGCAGTTACAGCTGTGCCCAGGATCAAAGTAGAAACAGGAAAAATGGCCCTTTTTTAAATTTAGTTGTGTTTTGTGGATGGATAGCCCTGCCTGTGTGTGCAGTAGGAGTGCTGGGTCCCACAGATTCAGGGATTGCCCTTCCTTCCACTCCTGACTGGCAGCACGCTCCTTTTCACTCCAGCATCCCAACAGCACACCCGGGTCATTTAAAATCACTTTTTTCTAAAAATACCCCAGGAAAAGGAGCCTTTTTTAGCCAATGCAAATAAAACAGCATCCTCACTGCAGAGCATATTCCCAGAAATGCCTTTTAACAGGAGATTTTTAGGATCATAGGAAGTATCTGGAGGGATTTTGGGTGTGGATGGGAGGGTGCAGAGCAAACGTCAGGGTGGGATTCTCCCTTGGGAAGCTGTTCCATCCTCCAGCGTGGAGTTTGGGCTCAGCATGGTCAGGACAGGGGGGAACATCCAAAGGGATCAGCCAGGATCCTGCTGTAATGAAAATAAACAAAAGCAAATAAAATAATAAGCAAAATAAAAGAGCAGTTTCCCCCTGCTCCCCAGGGATTTCAGACTCCTGACCAGTCACCAGACCTGGACCTTTATTTTTAGGTTGCTCTTTCATCTTCCTCACCCTCCAAGCTGTCACTGCTACACAGATTCAACCTGAGCACTTCTCCCAAAAATAACTATTTCAGGTCATGCCTGGCAAAGAAATGACTTATTTAAACTGTCAGCAGGGCTTGAAATGTCACTTGCAGATGTTGCTTCAGATGTGACTCGTGCAGGATGAGGTGTTTATGAAGCACCAAAGTTCCTCACAGCTTGGAATTTTGAGTCAGGAGTGGTTTTGTGATCCAAACTATTCCACTTGAGCTGTTTTTGTTTGAATTAGGGCTATTTACAGCTGCCATTAATAACCAGTGTTTTATTCAGGATAAACAGTTCAGCTGGCCCAGCAATAAAGAGCAATCTGCAAGTTACAGGCTGGGGACACGGGAAGGTTTTTTTTATATTATGAATTAGTGATTTTGCCATAACAGAGTTCCCAGTGCCCTATTTTGGGAAGTGGAGATAATGATTTTCTGGTGGGAGTTGGAGAAATCCAAGTGCAGTTTGTCAGGAGCTGGCTGGCCTGGCTCCTTGGGGTAATATTTCTTACTTTCAGTGAGAAGATCAAAATTTTACAAAATTTTAGCTGAATGAAACCAAACGTTGTGCATCAAAGGGACCCAGCTGCAACAGTTTTGTTTCCTTTAAAATATGTTTGGGGTTTTGGATTTTTTTGTTTTTTTTTTTTTTTTGTAAGTATTATCTCAATTCTTGAATAAAAGCAAGAAGTACTGTGAGAAAAAAAAACCTGAAATGTGATTTTACCCATTGTCCTTGTGAGTAGATACAAAGTCCTGACCTATCCAAGAGCTTGTATTCATAATTTCTGTTCCTTTGCAGTCCCAGTGGGTCTTTATTATCCTGCTTGGAGCAGGTGAAGACTTACTTGCTGACTGATGGAACGTGCAAGTGTGGCCTAGAATGTCCTCTTGTTCTTCCCAAGGTAAAGCACAGCATCATTGTGGATCTGGGTGCAAGAATATTTATCAGCTGCCCGTGCTGGTGACTCAGACTCTGTTCAGGTCATCTCTAAAATAAATGGTGTCCACTCAAAGTTAGACTAAAAATATAAAATAAAATTTTGTATAAATTTTATATAAAAAAAATTTATATAAAAAAAATTTATATAAAAAAAATTTATATTAAAAAAATTTTATCCTTAGCCCCTCTTGCAGAGGATCTGACTCAGTTATTATAAATATTTTAATTTTTTTATTTGTTGTTTCCAAACATCCTGTCGGGGAATCCCTTGGGCAGTATAGGAGCAGTCAGGAGCAGAGGAGAATTCCTTTATAAAATATAAAATTCCTAATTTTTGTGAATTTGCTGCCTGTAGTCATTCTTTTAAACACTGGAATTTTCACTGCCAGGTCTTTAATTTTGATCCTGGAGCTGCTGTGAAGCAGAGAACTGCTGAAGATGTTAAAGCGGACGAAGATGTCACCAAACTATGCATTCACAAAAGGAAAATTATTGCTGTGGCTACACTTCACAAAAGCATGGAAGCACCACATCCTTCACTGGTTCTAACTAGTCCTGGTGGTGGAACAAGTGAGTAAAATGAAATCATGGAATAATCTGATTTTTATACACGTAATTACTGTGCAAAACCACCCCCAAAGTCTGGCCACAAGTGCAAAAATAAGCAGATTGAAGGAATAAATGAAGGGAGTAGGCAGAGATGGAGGTAGATAGAAAATGAGTCTAAAAGCAGGTCAGCCCAGACTAAGAGCATGATTTTCTTGGAAAAGATATCAGATTGTTCTAGACAAAGAAAATACATTAGCTCTCATCTTTTGGAACTGTAGTAATGTGTCTGATATTCTGTCACATGGGAAATTAGAGGAGCAGAATAAAGTGATTATGAAGGGATTAGGATGTGGCTAAGGACTTGGCTAAATGGGAAATTGTATTGTAAAGGAGAATAGACAGCAAGAGGAGATCTCCACTGTTCATTTCTCAAGGATTATTTTTGGCCACCAACCTGGATTAGCATTTTAATTATCCCCACCAATAAAAAAAGTGAGGAAATGTGTTGGTGGCTGAAGTTGACAGGTACTCTCCAAACAAAGGTGTAAAACCAAGGGGGTTCCCTGAGGCCTGGAGTGAAAGCAAAGTTAGCACTGAAACAGCTCCAAACCCAGAAATTCACCCAAAACTGGGGACTTTGTCAGGGTCACAGGAACAGGTTCTGAAGAGAATGACAAATCCCAGTGGGCAGGACAAAGGAGGGAAGGGGCTGAGTTTATAATTTTGTGCTCTGGGGTTGCAGCTCCTGAGAAAAGGCCTGAGCTCCCTGCACCCCTCCTTGCTGTGAGAGCACCTGGCCAGCTCAAGTGGGCTCTTCCCTCTTCAAAGGGGAAAAAAATACAAGAAAACCAAGAAATAATAAATTTTAGAGACGTGCCAGTGCTAACAGACCCATGCTGTTCATAGTACTGATGTGCCTCTGCCTTTTCACGTTGAAATTTAGGATTTAAAACTTTTCTTGAAATTTTTTTTTCAGTGTAATTTTGGTTTTAAGTGTCAGTGGAATTTCCCAAGTTTCTGTGCATTTCCCTGCTTAATTTTTTCAATGAGTAGTAGTTAAATTACATTCCTGTTTTCAAAAAATCAGCAAAATGGAGGTAATTTATATATTTCTGTGCTCTTTCTCTGTCAGTCAGAATTTTGTGCATAAGCAAAGAAGAAAATTCCCCAATAAATCTCTCTGTAAGCAAAATTTTTGCACATTTATAAGTGACCATTTGCTTATTTCCAGCACTCAAGGTGAGGCCTCTCATAATTATTTTATTTTGCAGTTCAGCCTTTAGTTTTGTCCCCTAAATGAGAATTTGGTTGTATCTGGGGACAGGGGAAATGTTTGTTTCTCTCACATTGGAGCAAATAGGATGAAGGCAGGATTGTCAGTGCTGTCTGACCAGGCTGAAAGATGAGTAGAGGAATTCCAAGGCACCTCTGGGTTCATTTGAACACAGAATTTTTAGCTCCCAATTCCAGCTGAATTTTGCACATCCAGAGGCTTCATGCCAAGCACTGCAAGCTGAATTGCAAATTCCCAGAGCTGCAAAACTGGCAGAAAGTCCCCCAGACTTGGAGCTGCTTGTGTTTCTAGTCTGGAAGTAAAACATTGGGAAAAAATCTCTTTAAATAAAGCTGGAAAGTGGTCTTGTGTTTGTTGGAAGGTGTAGCCTAAAAAGTGGGATTTACAGGGAATTTTTCCATCATGTGCAAATATCCCCAAGGCTTTTATCCTGCAAACAAACAGGAACATTCAGGATGCCTCATTTGGGACAGGACCTTTTCTGTGGGAACTGAGTCTCAGTCCTGGACAGGCTTTGTTCCTCCTGTCCTCAATAGATGGTGCCAGAGGCTCCTTTTCCCTGCCACAGCCATCCCTCTCCTCCTGCCAGAGGGGGGATGCTGGAGATGCAGGAGGCTTGCTTGGAACAGGCAAAAGGCAAGGAAAAAGGTTCCAAATGCTCCATGTTTCTGTGGGATACGGAATTACAGCTGTGTCACTGGGGACAGGCACCGTTCCAGCTTGGAGATTGAGGGTTTATTTCTGCTGAAGCAAAAGTTTAGCCAAAGGCTCCCTGAGCTTTTTTGGGAACGTTTTCACCCTCAGCAGCTTTGTCCTGAAACGTGGGGACACTGGATTTACAACCAGTAGTAACTGTTGTGTGTTTCCCACGCCAGGTGCAACGCCAGTAGTTCCCACCCGAGCAGCAACTCCAAGGTCGATGAGGAATAAATCACATGAAGGAATTACAAATTCTGTGATGCCGGAATGTAAGACTCCTTTCAAGTTGATGATGGGGGCATCTAATGCCATGGGTAGGCTTTATGTGCAAGAAATGGCTGGAAGCCAGCAAGCAGAGCTCCATCCTGCCTATCCCAGGCAGAGGTTGGGGAGCAATGAACTGGGGCAGAAGTCTCCGTACCGCGGCAGCCACGGGGGGATGCCCAGCCCGGCCTCCTCGGGGTCGCAGATCTACGGGGACGGCTCCATCTCGCCCAGGACCGACCCGCTCGGGAGCCCCGACGTCTTCACGAGGAACAATCCCAGTTTTCACGGAGCGCCCAACTCCAGTCCCATCCACATGACCAGGACGCCTCTGTCCCCGCCGTCGGTCATGCTCCACGGCTCTCCCATACAGTCATCCTGTGCCATGGCTGGAAGGACTAATATACCTCTTTCCCCCACCCTGACCACCAAGAGCCCAGTCATGAAAAAACCCCTGTGTAACTTTTCGGCCGGTATGGAAATACCACGAGCAATGTTCCACCATAAACCCCCCCAAGGCCCACCCCCGCCTCCTCCACCGCCTTCTTGTGCTCTTCAGAAAAAGCCATTAACATCCGAGAAGGATCCGCTTGGCATTCTGGACCCCATTCCCAGCAAGCCGCCGAACCAGAACCCCGTGATCATGAACCCCACCACGTTCCACTCGAGTGTCCACTCTCAGGTACCCGTGATGAATGTAAGCATGCCCCCCGCCGTGGTGCCCCTGCCCAGCAACCTGCCCCTGCCCACCGTCAAACCCGCCCACATCAACCATGGCGCTCACGTCCAAAGGGTTCAGCACTCGGCGTCCACGTCGCTGTCCCCGTCGCCGGTGACGTCCCCCGTTCACGCCATGGCGCCCGGCATGGCGAGGATCGAGGCTTCTCCCCAAAGATCGCGTTCTTCTTCCACCTCGTCCGATCACGGAAACTTCCTGCTGCCTCCCGTGGGGTCGTCCTGTAGCGGTATCAAAGTCCCTCCCAGGTCCCCGAGGTCAACCATAGGGTCGCCGAGGCCATCCATGCCATCCAGCCCTTCCACCAAGCACGACGGACTCAGTCAGTACAAGGACATCCCCAACCCGTTAATTGCTGGAATGAGTAACGTGTTAAATCCTCCCAACAACGCCGTTTTTCCCGCTGCGTCGGCCGGAAGCGGTTCCTTGAAGAGTCAGCCTGGTTTGCTGGGAATGCCTTTAAATCAGATCTTGAACCAGCACAACGCTGCCTCTTTTCCAGCAAGCAGTTTACTCTCAGCAGCAGCCAAAGCACAGCTAGCAAATCAAAATAAACTTGCTGGTAACAACAATAACAGCAGTAGCAATTCTGGACCTGTTGCCAGCGGCGGCAGCACCGAAGGACACAGCACTTTAAATCCCATGTTCCCTCCTGCTGCCAACGTGCTCCTCCCCACCACGGAAGGGCAGAGCGGCCGGGCAGCACTGAGAGATAAATTGATGTCTCAGCAAAAGGATCCTCTGAGGAAAAGGAAGCAGCCCACCACCACGGTGCTGAGCTTGCTGAGGCAGTCTCAGCTGGACAGCTCTGGCCTTCCCAAAGCCGGCTCCGATTTGATCAGAAAGCCAAGTCAAAGCTCCTTCCCCATCAGCTCCATGTCGCAGCTCCTGCAGTCCATGAGTTGTCAGAGCTCCCACGGGAGCAGCAATAGTTCCTCGGGCTGCGGGGGCTCCGGCGGCGCCG